CACAAAACCCAGTGACTCCATTTACTATCCTCTATCTTGGAATCATGGCCTTTGACTTAAAAAGATCAATAAGCTGGGCGGGATGGGGGCGGGGAGGGCCGGGCCAGCCACCAGGGCTGCCCGGCAGCACTGTTCCCTCCCCCCTCGGTCGTCTTCATAAGCTTACGGGGGTGGAGGGGGGTGGCATCATACACCGGCTTCACGCCCTCGGCCCCAGCATACTCGGCCCAGTCACCTGTGCCAGGACAGACCCTAACCCAGGGCCCTGCGCCCGATCGGAACATCAGCCTCCGCTGACCACAGCCAGTCCACGCCTCCCACCCACGTGGACTGCATCTCCGGGCTCCAGGGAGAGCAGGGCTTGGAGCGATCAGGATTCACCATTCCTGGTGCCGGCCACTGACACCCGCCTCACCACCTCCTCAGGGCCAGAGAAAGACCCCAAGTGCTGGAGAGACCAAGCTCAGCAAACCCTGAAAAATGCCCTGAGCCTTCAGAATCTCAACACCAACGTGGCTAAGACCATCACGTTCCTGGGAGATGGGATGGGCGACCACCCACATCCTCCAGGGCCAGCTGCCCTAAAACCCTGAGGAGGCCAGGCTGGACGGGGGGACAAGTCCCCGCACATGGCTCTCTCCAAGACACACAACACCAACGCTCAGGTCGCTGACAGCACGGGCACTGCCACTGCCCTCCAGTGTGGGTGAAGCCAATGAAGGCCAATGGGTGAAGGCCATCAGGGTGGTGCAACCCAGAGCTCCCTCTGCACCACCACCCAGGGGGACGAGGTCACCTCTATCCCTGTGGAGCAGGCCTGAGCTGTCAGTCAGACATCCCCTGAGGGCTCCCGGGCTGCAAGAGGGTGCAGGCTGGACTGAGTACATGGACTTCATGCACTCGGCCTCTAGTTCTTTAATACGAAATAAAAAGCCCTGGCTAAGTAGTTCAGTTAGCTAGAGCGCCACCCTGATACACCAAATTTGTGGGTTGGATCTCAGTCAGGACACACTAAGAATCAACCAATCTATATGTATAAAAGGCTAATATGCTAAGTGTCCATCTGGGTAATGATGCCACGTAGCAATGCCCAGCTTCCTCTTCCTAGTGACAACTAGCCTCCTTGAAGTTTCTTCAGCCCAGGAACCAGACTTGCTTTATAGCCAGTTGGAAACACTTTACACTATAGCCAAATGTCTGTGAAGCATTTTCCCTGCCCCATCTCATTTGATCCTCACAGAAGTCCTGGAGTAGGTAGATAGGATACTCAGTGGAATCCCATTTTTGTTTCATTAGCAGAAAACAGAGATTTGAAAGCTTAGAAATTTGACCTGACTGAAAAAAAGTAAGAAATGGTGGGCCTTGAAAATGACTTCAGGTTTTCTCCCTGCGCGGAATATAGTCAAACACTGCCACAGTTACATATTTTACCCTTTGTTCTGCCTTCGAGATCTACAATGATAATCTGCTTCATGTTGATATTTACTGCTGTGTTGCTGACAATTACCTGGAAGGGAAGTTGGGGTGCTTCACTGGGCTGGAACACACTCAGCTACATCAGAAAGCAGGTCTAATTAAGCAAGTTTGTTCTATATCTATAAAAGGCTAAGTAGACTCGCACATGCATGATACATATAACGCTCGCCCTGGCACCAATGGCATGTGCGAGTCTCCATCTGTCATTGTCAATCGTGAATTTGGTTGACACTTCTATTACAGAGAAAGGGCGAAAAGCGATATTAAAATATTTCTTCTAATTAATTTCCTTTCACTGGAAAAAACAAATCCATGTTTCTCCCTCTCTCTCTCTCTGATATAAATTTAAAAAGAAAGTCTTGTTACACAGGTAATAGCCACTGTGCAAAGCAGGGGATGAACTATGCCAAGTCTTCTAGGGAGCAGGGACCACTGGAGGCCACCAAAGCAGTGATTCTCAAACTCATTCTGGTGGTGGAACCCCAGGAACTTACGATGTTCAGTATAACCCACTCTTCTCTTCTGTTGATACTGTTCAATATTAAAATTGTTTTTGCAGAAGAGGAATTGTTAACTAATACGTAACCGATGGAAAAGCAGCATATTTGTGTAAGAGTTCAGAGACTAGCTCCAGAAATCACACATTCCGGCTCCAGGACACTTGCTGACTCTCAACCATAAAAATCGAACCTTGCCCTGGCCAGTTTGGCTCAGTAAGTAGAGTGTCAGCTTGCAGACCAAAGGGTCCTGGGTTCAAATCCAGTCAAGGGCACGTATCTCGGTTGTAGGCTCCTCCCCAGCCCGGGCCTTGATCGGGGCTTGCATAGGAGACAACCCATCTATGTGCTTCTCTCACATCAATAGTTCTCTCTGTTTTTCCCTCACTTCCACTTTTCTTAAAAATCAATGGAAAAATATCCTCGAGTGAAGATTAAGAATAAATAAGTAAGTCCTATATAATAAAAGCCTAATATGCAAATTGTCCCCTTGGGTAGTTGCTCGACCAGGAGTTCCACCGCTCGCTATGACATGCGCTGACCACCAGGGAGGCAGCATAGCACATGGCAGGTGTCGGCGACATGGTGCTGGCAGTGGGCAGCAGTGAAGGCGCTGCCAGCTTCAATGGGCTCCTACAACAGTGGTACAGCGGCAGGAGGCAGAGCAGGTGAGCGGGCAGCGGTAGGCCAACGCAGGTGAGAGCGGGGGTCCGATTGCCCTGCATACAGTGACCAGCGGTGGCAGCAGTGGGAGGGACTGCCACCGGGCTCCGAGACACTGAGGAGCCAGGCAGGGGGGCCAGTCCCGACTGATCACCCCACAGGCAGGATGGTGGAACAGGTGAGGGAGCGGAGCCAAGCCACATTGGGATGCCAGGTGGGGCTGTGGGGCTGCAAGCCTGGGGGAGCAAGCCAGGGCCCAATCCCAACAGGCCACCCTGAGGGACCCCACCCGCATGAATTCATGCACTGGGCCTCTAGAAAATGAATGAATAAGTAAATAAATACATAAATAAATACCTGGCCTCTGCTCAACCAGTTTCAAGATAATCACTAGACTGGACTGCGCTGACTTACCTGAGGAGAACTTTCAATGCCCCATCCTTTCTTTTCCCCCCTCCCTCCCAATAAGAACCACGCCTACACTGAGACATTAAGATGGCTTTGGGATGGGAGTCACTGTCTTCTCAGGCTGCTGGCACTTGAACAGACCCTCTCTCCTTACGCCAGCCCCCGTCTCGAGTACTGGCTTTCAAAGTGGCAGGCAGCCAAACCTGACTTTGGTATCACTATGAAGAACTGACTGAAATGCTAACTCATTAAAGTAAAACAAGGCAATAGCTTTGTGCTGAAATTCAGATGACACTTTATACTACACTGTAGCAACAGATGTGAAATTTTAAGTTAGCAATGTACAAGAACCTAAAGGTTAAGAAAATTCTATCTGATTAACTCAGTCTCCTCTGCACATTAAGACAGTCGCCCCTCTGGATTGGTGCCCAGACACCTCCTGGAAATAATTAAATATATATGAAGCCCCATGCACAAATTCATGCACCAGTGGCATCCCTTGGCCTGGTCTGTAGGATCACGCCAAAACAGGTTCTCCAACATCCCCTGAGGGGTGTCCTGGATTGCGAGAGGGTGCAGGCCAGGCCAAGGGGCCCCACCAGTGCACAATCGGGGCCAGGGAGGGACTGTGGGAGGGCTTTCAGGGCATGTCCGGCTCATCTCATTCAGTCCCGATCAGCCGGACCTCAGCAGCAAGCTAATCTACCGTCAGTGTGTGGTCAGTACACATCATACTGTCAGTGTGTGGTCAGTGCACATCATAGCAAGCGGTTGAGCAGCCTTAGTATATCATTAGCATATTACACTTTGGTTAAATGGCCAACCAGACCACCAGACACTTAGCATATTAGGCTTTTATTATATAGGATTTTTTTTTTAAGATGGCCAGCCATCAAAATTAGGTCTCACTCCTGGGTCTAGCTCATAGAGCACAGAGCCAATCCTAGCAATGAGTAGGATGTGGCTTCCGAAAGAGAAGAGGCAACAGAGAACAGTAGTATGTACATGGGAGGGGAGACATAGAATCCAGCAAAGCAAAGTAAAAGGCAGGGAGCCACCCCCTGGTGAGCATCCATGGCCACTCAGACTGCAGCATCGTGGACAAGCAGACCTGTCACACACCGCCTTGCAAACGACTCGCCCACAGCTTGTGTGTGAATTGAGTTCATTAATTTCACTTTCGGAGAACCTTCGAGAACAGCCACGCTTCAGAGGAAGGTGCCCCCACCACTGTGTCTAAAAGTCACCATTACAAAGGAGATGGTGTTTTCAACAGGGACGTCTTAGTCAGGAATTAAGCAACAGATGTGACAAGACAAAGTCAGAAAGGCAGATACAACTGCCGTAAACCTTCACTATAAAATGATCCTTCAATGCTAATAAAAGGGCACAGGTGTGCTGGGCACGAAGGCTAGGACAGATAGAGCCCACAGCCCTACAGCACCTTAAAATGGACTTTAAACGATAGCAGCTCAGGCCTCGGCACCTCATTGTCATTCCTGATGCCCACAAGCCTGTGGGAATCCGGCAAACGGGTCTCCCAATGGCTGGTTCCCGGAGCAAACACCACTCTGTCTAGTTAGCCAAACAGGCCCAGCGAGGAACTCCCACTCACTGTCGCCTCCTTCCTGCAGAGGCGTCCACAGGGGCTGAAAGCTGGGGAGGCTGAGGTAGTAGAAAAGGCTGATGCTGCAGACATGGACCCCCAAGCATGGCCTGAGAAGCAAAGTTGCAGCTCCCCGTGTGCCATCAGCCACACCAACCCCTCTGGTGAGCTTAGTGGATTCCAGTAACTGCATCGTCCACCGTGGGAAACATCCTGTTCTCCATTCCCAGGATACCTGTGGGCCCGCCCTCTTCCACCTCCATGCTGGGCCCAGGGCAGCCACAGCCCCACTCAGCCAGGACTGGCACTCGGGGGCAGGTGAGGGGCACAGAGACACACAGCCACCTTACCTCCAAAGTTGGCCAGCCGCCCAATCCTTGTAACTGGCACCTTTCGCTCCCGAGCCCGCTCACTGAGCTGGAGGGACGACAGAGAGAGGCCTCAGGGAAGAGCGAATGGGGACAGGGCCAGCCTTCGGGGGCTCCTGCTGCCTCCCACCCCCTCCTCACCACCAAAGGCAGCAGTTCTGCCTGGCAGCCCCCCCACCACCAGAGACCTCCATGCTCCCAAACCCTCCAGACCACAGCCTCCTGAGAACCACCCAGAGCCCCACTCCAGGGCCCTCCCAGACGCACCATCTGCTTGTGGGGCTTGTTCTCGGGGCGCGCCTTGGCCTGCCGGGCCTTCTCGATGTCCTCGGCTGTGAGGCCGCCCACAGGGGACTGGTCCTGGTGGAAGAACCTTCGCTGCAGGCCAGCGGGGGAGAAGGGAGCTCTGCTCTCCACGAAAAGCCTCCCGCTGCCCCTGCCCAGAGGAGAGGCAGTCTGCCCTGGGAGCCCAGCTTCCCTGAAGGGTCCACTGTCAGCATAGGCAGGAGCGGGGCCCCTGCTGCTGGCGTGATCCTGGGGCGCAGACGAAGACTCCTGAGAGGCGGCTGCAGAGAAGTCTGTTGGCCCTGAGAAGTGGAACTCTGATTCTGGGTCGTCAAAGTTCTCCGACATGTAAGATTCTTCGTGTTTGTCCTGCTCCTGCGGGGACAAAAGCCAGCGTGAGAGGAGCAAGAGGCAGCCCACCCCGTGTCCATCCCGCTCTGCACAAGACAGCTCATCCCTGCGAGCCGCCCCCGGGCCTCCAGGGGTAACACGTTCCTCCCGGGCCTGTCCGTTCTGGAGGTGAGCGCCTTCCTGGCCCAGGAGCAGGGCCCAGATTCCAGTCCCGCTTCTGCCAGGGCACTGCCGTGTGGTCGCCGAGAACCGCTGGGAGTCCAGCCAGGCCCAGGCCCGTTACCACCACTCCCAGCGAGTCCCTCATCTAGTCATCAGGGCTAAGACGGGCCTCCAGGGTGCCGGGGTGGGTGAACCAGGGAAAGAGACAGGAGACCTTTGAGAAGTCAAAGCACAACCACAGGCCAGCGAGGGCAAGGGCAGTGCACAGACGGGGACACGCCACCACTGCAGCCAGACCTCGCCGCAGACACGGCTCCGCTCACCAGCCCTGGCTGCCTGAAGAGGCTCTCACTAGACGACCTGGCACCCCAGGTTTGGCCTGGCTGTCCTTGGGAGTTGGGGACACATATTTTCCTTGTAACAAGTGAAAAGACCTGATCTGCAGGCCCAGACTCCTTCTACGTTAGAACTCAGAGTGACCTTGAGTAAGTTCTCTGCTACTTCCTCATCTGAAAATAGGACTACCAGTCACAGGTTTGGGGGGGCCACAGACCGGCCAGGGGAACAGGGCCGAGGAGGCTGGAACTGGAACAGCACTGACTGCTGAAGGGAGGTCAGGAGCCCGATTCCCTGTCCCACTGAAATGGACTCGGTGCACACAGCGCTGCCTGCGGCTCTGCAGACACGGGAGCAGGGCCACAGCCTCCGCACGCTCAGCTCTACAAGCTACGCCTCCAGGAAGGAAGGAGGTGGCTGTGGCTCTCACGGCCAAATGGGAACCTCAGGCTGAGGGAGCTGAGGTGATCCGGTAAAGGCCCACCAGCCGGCCAGTGGCAGATCAGGGTCCAGGCCAAGGTCTGTCCTGCTGGCAACCACTAGCACTTTCCTCAGAGCAGAAGTAAACTGTATTGGATTCTCCCGGCACCTCTCAAGATGGCCAGGAAGCCCTGGGTGAGGGGCCTGGGCAGGTCCCTGAGAGCCCCTGTGACGGACTCCCATGGGCCGCCTGGCCCTGCATTGCCATGGCCCGTTGGTGGCTCTGGGCCTCTGGGCAGTGAAGGGGCCTCCGTGTCTCGATGGGACCAGCCTTGGCGTCTGCGGAATGAGGACGTGAACGAGGGAGGCTCCTGGAGTATCTGGCCCTCCATCACCTCAGAGAGGGGAGGCCTCCCACTTTTACCCCAGTGGCCGAACCAGGGGCTCTGGGGAGGCTTCCGTTTACTGAGACTTGAGCCACCCAGCAGCCTCTCCCAGGGGCCCTATCCACCCGGAAGGGTAGTGGGTTACACTAACCAGTGGGCTGTCTGGCCCTGGCTACCGGCCTCCCTTGCTGTGTCCTCATCTCACCAAGAGCTCCAAGTCCACCTTCCCTCCCACCGGCACCCTCCCGGACCAGCCTCCTTACCTTCACCGTCCCCAAGAACATGCTGATCTGCTCTGCAGCCGTGGACTGCAGGGCCCGGGCCGCCATGATGAACTCCGCTCCCAGGCCGAAGTGCTGCAGGTGGGTCTCCACAGCCGCCTCCGTCAGCTTGGCCAGTCCCTTGAGCACCATGATCGCATCCCCCATGACGGAAGCCATCCTTCAGGGCTGGAAGAGAGCAGGCCTCATCAGGCGGGGGCACCACACTTCCTACAGGCCACACGCACAGTGATCGACTCCCCAGGATCCTGGGCCGACGGGAACTGGTTTGCACTGACCTCCCTTTCGATCCGGGCTGAGAGAGAAAGGAGCAAGGAAGGGACGGGACTCAAGGTCGGCTCTGGGCCACTCCCTGCACTGCAGGCACGGGGCACGGAGCAGAACGCACGGCTCTGAGGGGCCAGGCTGTGCCCCAGGCAATTCCTCAGGAGGCCTCACAGCCACCTAAAGTCTCCCTGATACCAAGTGGCCGGACCAGGACTTGAACCGGGTATACAGACTTAGTCCAAGGCTCTTTCCTCTGCACCAAACTGTAGGCTGGGGAGGGAGCGCCTGTCCCTGCCCAGCTGTGCTCACTCTGCCAGGGGACCTCTGACAGACACCACAGACCACAGGGCAGCCAGAGCCCAGCCTCCTGCCTCAGACTCTGATCTAACTACTGACCAGCCAATGCTTTCAGACCACAGTCCAGACCACAGTGCAACCCATTTGGGAAACCCAAACCAGCATGAAAATGCAAGGACATGACATGAGCAGAAAAGAAAGCGTCAGAGGTCCCGTGGGAAGGGCTCTTATGAAACCTGTTTCCCTTGCGTGTACACGGAGCTGCTCTGTCCCTTTTTTCTCTCCAAGTCCGTCTAAAACGTGTTTCTTCTCGTAGGTCAGGGCCAAAGGGGCTGAAAGTCACTGGACACAGCGGTGCCTCTCAGGGTGCGGAGGGTGCCATCAATCATCCAAGTATTTCTTAAGGTCTGCTGGGGGCTGTGCGCGGGGAGGGGTCAGGTAAGGGCCCTGTTAACAAACGGGCTGAAGAAAAACCACAAAAAGGAAAGCACAGCAGGACACCCAGAGAAGGTACACTCTGCACGGGGCAGGGCAGAGCTGGGATCTGCTGAGTCTCAGAGATAAAGACAGAGCCAGAGAGGAGAGGGCGTGGGAGGCGGGCACTGCAGAACTGCAGGAGGGGACCTGCGTGAACAAACACGTGGAGGCTGAGGAGGGAAGGATACACCCTGGATGCGGGGCGTGGGCCAGAGGAGGGAGAGGACGGTCACAGAGACGCCTCGGGGAGTCCCTCTTCTCTTCACACCAGTTAGCAGCGGCGCATGCTGGCGGTCTGGTAAGTGCACACTAGGACCGCCACCAGGACCCGGGGCTTCTGAAGATGGCAGCAGGCTGTCCCACTGCCCTTTGCAGGGAGCAGCCCAGTGGGCCCAGGATTCCTGTGGGGATCAGCGTTGCTCCTCATTTCTCCTTATTTAAAAGAAAAAATTGTCGTGACAGCCACAGAAACCCACTGATGCCCAGGAGCCTCAGAGAGCTGAGCTGACCCACCGTAACCTGCCCCAGGCACATAAGAACAGTACCAGGCAGGGCGGGTGCTTTCCCTCTTCACCTCCTTTTAACCTTTATAAACAACTGCCCCGTCTCAAAAGGAGAAAGCCACAGCAGAGAGCTTGGTAACTGCCAGTCATTCAGCTTCTGGAGGGTGGCTTGGGCCTGACCCTGGCCCTTGTCTGCCCACCACTCCATACGCCTCCCCAAGTTCTCGGCCTCTCCCTCTGAGAGCACTGCTCACACACAAAAGGGCCGCCTACACCGTGGTCAGCAAACTGCGGCTCACGAGCCGCATGCAGCTCTTTGGCCCCTTGAGTGCGGCTCTTCCACAAAATACCACGGCCTGGGCAAGTCTATTTTGAAGAAGTGGCGTTAGAAAAAGTTTAAGTTTAAAAAACGTGGCTCTCCAAAGAAATTTTAATCGTGGCACTGTTGATATTTGGCTCTGTGGACTAATGAGTTTGCCAACGGCTGGCCTACACCCCAGCTAAAACCAAGGAGGTTTTTAGGTGACCACACCCTTGAAGAGGCAGGGAGAGAGGGAGGACTAGTCCCGCCCTCACCTGGTGCCATTCACACGCTCACTTGATGACTCTAATAAACAAGGAGGAGCCCCCAGGCATTCTCCACTGTTGGAGCTGGGAAGAGATCATGCAACCAGAGATCAAATGCAGCCGGTCCCAGCTCTCCACAACTCAGCAGCCCCTGGCCCACCCCCAACACACACAGGCACACTGTCAAGTCCAGAGAGGAGCATCCACCAAGGCCCACAGACCCGTAAGGGAGGAGACATCGGGGACATGCAATGGCGGGGGCAGGGCCCCTAGCCACATCTTACCAGAAGGGCCCTTGCTGGTGGCCCAGACCATGCACCGTATCCCACTGCCCAGGGTTCCCAGAAACAGGCCTCCCCTCTGTCACCTCTGAATCCAATCCATGTAAGTATTGGCCACGAACCTCAACAATTCCAAAACTTCGTACTCCTGCCAAATCCTCCCTAAAACTTACAAGAATTAATTCAGACTTTGTTTTCAGGCCTTAATTCCTCCTGAATTTCTCACCCTTGTTATCGAAACCACACACCAAAATTTCATTTCATTAGAGCACATGTGTCAAACACAAGGCCCGCGGGCCAAATCCGTCCCGCCAGGCCTTGCAATGTGGCCCGCACCGCGCTGTCATCACTGCACTCCGCTGCGTTTCCATCACAATGACAGTTTATGACTGTTCAGTAAACCATTCGGCCCGAGATTTAGGCTGGATTTTAGATTTTGGCCCCTTCTCTGATTGAGTTCGACACCCCTACATTAGAGCAAAGCTGCTAAGTGTTGGGGGGAGGGGGTTCCCCCTACTCTAGCTTGAAGGCCCACTGCACGGATGGCAGTTCGAGCTGAAAGTCCCATTTCCGGTCCTGCACAGGGCAGGGCAGGGCTGGGACCACCAGAGCCCAGGCCTCCCTCCTCTGGTTTCTGAGCGTGTCAGCCCTGAGCACGGCTCTGACAGGCTGGAACTGCGCCTGCTCCACACTGACACTTTTCTTAAAGTCAGAAAAGGGAAAATGTTACGTTAACCAAACATTTTTACGTTTCCCTGCATTGGGGAAATATGAGCAATAATGGTCTCATTCAGTATCTTCCTTATTTTTTTATTTCTTTATTAAGGTAATAAATATGTGTTCTTATTCCCCCATTACCCTCCACCTCCTATTCATGCTCCCTCCTCCCTGCTGTCTGTGTCCATAAGTCTTTTGGTTGATCTCTCCCTCTCCCTTATTTTTTAGTTTACATATCCTACTTTCAAAATGGCAAATAAGTAAGTCGCTAAAAAAGTACACATTAAAAAGTAATGTACAGCCGACACCAGTTTGGCTCAGTGGTAGAGTGTCGGTCTGTGGACTGAAAGGTCCCAGGTTCGATTCCGGTCAAGGGCATGTACATTGGTTGCGGGCACATCCCCGGTGGGGGGTGTGCAAGAGGCAGCTGGTCTCAATGTTTCTCTCTCATCGACGTTTCTAGCTCTCTATCCCTCTCCCTTCCTCTCTGTAAAAAATCAATAAAATATATTTTTAAAAAAAAAAGTACAGCCTTGACAGAGCAGCTCACTTTGATGTCCCAACACATCAAAGTTGCAGGTTGCATCTCCAGTTAGGCACATACAAGAAGCAATCAGTGAGTGCATAAATAAGAACAACAAAATGATGTTTCTCTCCCCTTTCTTCTCTCTCTTTAAAATCAATTTTAAAACTTTAGAAAACAATGTTATGTGTTTCTTCCTGCCTAAACAGTTGTGTTCTCACACCAGTGAACTCCCAAAGGGCACGGGTCTCACCTGAGACAGTGGGCACTGTTGGGAGGAAAATAACTAGACCATCTCCTCTGGAAGGAAGACCCACCCAGGGGGGAATACCATCACAGAAACACACCTTCCAGCCTCCTGTAGCGCAAACACACGGATGTTGCTAGCAAACAGCCTGTCACTCGTGAGCAGATTCACATGTGAATGTATATTTCAAAACCACAGCCTGTGTTCAAACTCCTCTGACAAAATTACTTACTTAATGTGCCAGGGCTGTAACAGACCTCCCACACATTGCTCGGCTCAAAGTAGTGTCCACCTTCAAAGAGCAGGGAGGGAAGAGGAACAATCGCCAGGAGAAAAGATCTTTCCAGAAAGTTTCTCACCTTCTGGTTTTCAAAGACTGTCCTACTTCTCCTACCAGGATCCCAACGTGACTCAGAACGCAGCCATCCAGCTGTGGGTGGAAACCCACCCGAGAATGCACCCGAGCTTCCCTCAGGATCGTAAACAAACACGTGTAACACACAAATTAGAGACCTACCCTCACCACATCTCACCTGTCAGTCTCAGAGCCCTCACCCGCCCGCTTGTCCTGCTGATGTTTAATGGGTTTTCAGGACCTGGTCTGGGAGCAACACAGGCGTGGAGCGTAGGTGCTCTGGGCCAGTCTGTGCAGGTCCAGATGAACCTGCCCTTGGCCCTGGGGTGCTCACAGCTGTGATGGCATGCAGGCACATCTATAACGGGCACAGACACCAGGGAGACAGCCAGAGGCGAGCTGAGGCTCTCATGCCAAAATGAGGGGTGGCTGAGCAGTGGAAAGACTGTACTAGCAGCTGGGACATGGGGCCCAGCTCCGCCCCTGCTGCTGTCTCACCATCTCTTTCAGGCAGGGAGCACTTTGGGTGACTAGCCAGGCCACTTCTGGTCCTAACATGCTAACGTGCTGTAAGGGAAGTAAATAAAGATGCTGTCTAGAGAGAGAACAAACTGAAACACATGCAGCTCACCACTCCCCGGGATAGGGACTGAGACAGACGCACAAGCAGTGCCTGCCTGGCAGGGGAGTTCTCGAGCTCAGAGGAAGTTTTCCTTTGACATTCACTCTCCAACCTTCCAGCTTCTTACCATCTCATTCATGCTGGAGAACAGACTCACAGTGCTGCCGCCCTGGCAAGATACCATAACATGCAGAAAATCGAGTCGTGTTCTTTTTGCAAAATAAATATAACAGGAATCCTGACAGGCATAAAGCAGAGGAAGGCATCATATATTTGTCCACTCAGTACCCACATGGGGAAACTTACTTGGGA